TCATAATAAGGGGAAAACTTCAAAAAAAGGTTTTATAATGTCAAAGATTACATTGAAAAATGTATTTACTTGTTAAGGATGCAGGAGACACATGAGTCCTTTTTCTCACACTGACTATACCACGGGCAGCAGTCAACAAACATGTCCTATTTATTCAACCACATCCGAACAAACTAATAACCATGATAAACAAGCCTTAAAAGCATCAAACTCAACAGTGGAAAAGACTTCTACCACTCAATGCAAGTGTGATGATGCTTATCAACACCAGCTCCAAAGATGCAGACCAGCTCTTAGTCTATGATAATATATACAGTAGAAAATTGGCATCAAAAGCAAGCATTTTACTTGTATCAGCTTTACTTCCCCATAAATATTTTAGTGCAGTTTGTAACACTTTTGATCGAAATGTTATGCAAAACACTACCTTAGAGGCAGTATCTTAAATGAAATCTTAAACCCTCTCATAAGGGAGCCACCATCTGTCAAATCCTCTCCCCCTCCCATTTAATGACTATATATTGGCATTTTGTTTTCTTCCTTTTTTACAGGGTTTCGTCCTGTCCCCTTTGCTGAAAATCAGACAGTATGTGGTTGCAACTACATCTGGCCATTGTCCCCCCACCCCCCAGGCGCCTACGGTGAAATGAGATTTGACTAACATAATGCTATCCCAGCAAGCATCATTTTAAATACAAAAATGTGCTCACTATCAAAAGGAAACACCATATACGCATGCAAAAGAATCTAGCAAATTGAGCCATCCTTTAAAAAAAACATACTTTTTTATTAAAAGGAGCATTAGACAGCTCAGCTTACATCTGGAGTATGATTAGAACCCCACTGTAAAACAATTACCAGAACTCTGTTTTGATATTTGATGTTGGAAAGAGAAAAAGACCTCATGGAGATTCAAGTTTCTGGCACGTTCTGGTGAATATATTTTACTGCTGATTTTCTATGAATAAACATATGCTAGGAATTGCTGAAATACGCTGCTGGTTTTAAACATTCCTAATGTAGTATTAGAGGTTTATTTCCAGAATTCTGTCTCCATTTAGCAGTTTCCTCTTTCCAGCTGGCAAAAACTATCATTGATATCAGCTCTGGTCAGCTATCTCATCCAATGCACGCTCCTCTATGGAAAGCAAGAGATTGGAAGGCAGCTAGCAGGAAGCAAGGCTGAAAAAATATCTAAGCAAATTGGGTCTAGCAATTTGGAAGACAGATTGTATTTTACTATGAAGAATCAGAAATAATTGCAGAAATTATGTGTCATCAAACTCATTTCAATATAGATGCTATGTTTAGGGGTTGGGGTGGATGGGTGGGCAAGTTATAAAATGAAGGATATTTCTCTGCCTTTTCAGCAGTCTTGCCTTTCATACAATCTTAAGGCTAGAAGGGGCCTGGAAAGTCTTCTAGTTCAATCTCCTGTCCAGGAAAATAATCCTCAGACCATCCTAGACAAATGTTTGTCTAAAGTTTCTTTGAAAAGCTCTAAGGATGGAGCACCCACAACTTCAGGAAGCAAGCTGTGTTCTATTGTTTAACAGCTTAAATGGCCAGAAAATTCCTCTTTATTTTGCATTTGGATTTCTCCCTGTAAAGTTTCCACTCACTAGTTCTTGCACTATGGAGAATAAATCCATACTGTTTTCCTGTAATTGCCCTTCCAGCACAGGAAGACTATGATGTCTCCTCTTAGCTTTCTGTTCCTTAGACTAAACATACATAGTTCTTTTTCACCATTTTTCATATGATTTTATACCATCCTTGTCCCACTCCTCTATACTCTCTCTAATTCTTTAGTAACTTTCTTGTGTGTTGACTGACCAAATTGAACACTGTATTCTAGATGTTATAGTCTTTCAGTAGTTCTCAGATTACATCCGTCAACTTTTCAAAGTTATGTTAGAATATTATGGGATAGATGTCTCCAGGTTGGCATTCTTTGCATTTTCTGCCTACCCACAAAATTTAGGAAGAAAGAAACGATATATGTGAAAGATCAAGTCCAGCCACTGAAACATCCAAAATAATACTTTTTGATATTCCCCTCCTAAAAAGTTCAAAAATCACAAATCCACCAATCCAAAAAGATACGATGCAAGATTTTCTCTAAAGACCTAAATTCTAAGATTTTGCAACTAGAATAAAATGCTAAACGTTTATTGTACAGTAAACAAATGTTATGTTTTTAAAAAGTATACACTTTTCTGATTTTCTACTAAATTTAAATTAGAACAAGAATGTGACAGCTGACAAAACAACATTTAATTCTGAGTTATATACAGAATAGGTTTATGCAACCATTCACAGATCACAGAATAACATACAAAAGAATATGACAGGAAAATTAGTTGGGAAGATATGTCTGAACTGTAAATTCCATACTCTAAATATATTAAATGCAGGTATTTAATTCTGAGGAGAGGAGAAAACAAGCTTTTAAAAAAGTTAATGCCATGGGAGAATAGATAAGTACAAAAATCAAATAACTGGTACTTTTAACTATAAGTAAATTCTGTGAATTAATTAGCATTAATTATAAAATCCTTGGCATTACAGAGTAGTATGTATCTACATGGAGTCAGTCATTGTTTCAAATAACCTTGCTATATAACCACTTTGTTTATATACCGTGAGCAACCAGGTTATTTCTTCCTACAGTTTTAAAACCATGTTCATTTTCTTCCAAACTAGTCTCCCTCAAAATATATTCAGCATATATGTTGAAACAGGTAGTCCTTGGTTAACAACCATAATTGGAATGGGAAAACATGATTTCATGTGACTGTGCCGACTTATAATGGCAGTTCTAACAATTCCAGTTGCAGTTGTTGGCCAAATTCTATGTGGTTGTTAGATGCAAGGTCCCGGGATTGCCATTTGTGACTTTTTGCTGGTTTCCAATTGATTTTGCTTGTCAGAAGCTAGCAGTGAATGCTGCAAACGGCAATCAATGTGACCATGAGATGCTGCAATGACCTCAATTGCAAGCCTGTTGCCAAGTGCCCGAATTGAAATCACACAATGTTGTGACGACCGCAACTTTGCAGATTGGCTGCAAGTCTCCTTGTTCAGTGCCATTGTAACTTTGAATGGTCAAATGGTTGTTAACTGAGGGCTAATCTGTAAAGAGAAATTATACAGCCTTGTCTCACTCCTTTCCTTTCCTTTCCTTTCCTTTCCTTTCCTTTCCTTTCCTTTCCTTTCCTTTCCTTTCCTTTCCTTTCCTTTCCTTTCCTTTCCCCTTCCCCTTCCCCTTCCCCTTCCCCTCCCTTCCCTTTCCTACTACATCCTGTCCAGAGTGGCTTCCTGAGCTATGTACACAAGGACAATGAGATGGATTGTGTGAAAAGTTTGTGATGGAACGTTTGAAACCAAATTGCCAAGCTCAGAGCTCAGCCCAACAGCCCAACCAAATGAGATGTTCTAGGATAATATTATTCTAAAGATCTTGCATAGTATGACTTTGTAGATATAATCAAAGGCTTTTCTATACTGAGTAAAACACATCACTTTTTTAAAATCCAGATTGAATAACTGGTCTTTGTCTTTCCATATAAAGTAATAACCTAGCAAAGCGGTTCACAATTTCAAAAGCAATTCCTGATGTTTTCCTTGTAAAATGGTAGGTATATGCTCATGATCTAATATTGGAATCTATAGGTAGTCCTTGACTTACGACTACGATTGAGCCCAACATTTCTGTTAAGAAAAGACATTTGTTAAGTGAGTTTTGCCCCATTTTACAACCTTTCTTATCACAGTTGTTAAGTGAACCACTGCAGTTGATTAAGTTAGTAACCCAATTGTTAACTGAATCTGGCTTCCCCATTGAGTTTGCTTGTCAGAAGGTCACAAAAGGTGATCATATGACCCTAGGACACAGCAACGGTCATAAATATGAACCAACTGCCAAGCATCTGAATTTTGATCACATGATCATGGGGATGCTGCAATGGTCATAATGGTGAAAAAAGGTTATAACCAGTGGTGGGTTGCTCCCGGTTCTGTCCGGTTCTATAGAACTGGTAAAACCGGTGGGAGGCTCCACCCACTGACCATGACATCATCATGGGTGATCTGTGCATGTGCAGAAGTGCGTGCAAAGTGAGCACGCGTGTGCGCGCTCCCGCTGCAAACCGGTAGTAAAGTTAAGTAGAACCCACCCCTGGTTATAACTTACATTTTTCAAGTGCCATTGTAACCTTAACAGTCACTAAATGAACTATTGTAAGTCAAGGACTACCGGTAGTTGATTTTATTCTTTCACTTTAGATTGATTTGGAAATTTTACATCAGTGCTTTATGATTTGTTCCACAGTCAACCCCTGGCCACATCTCTTTCCACTCCACACACCAATCATATAGTCAACTTTAAGATGCATGGACTGCAATGCGCCCAGCATGATGGCTAAGGAATTCTGGGAGTTGAAATCCAGATATTTTAAAATTATCAAATTTGAAAAACACTATTCCAAACCATTTTTCCTAAACAATTATTTCTTCTCTGGCCACTGTGTGGCGCTATCAACCTTAAGAAGGATTTCCCAACTTTTCTCAAACTTTATTTGAAGGTAATGTTGGGGGAAGCGGGAATGCTTCTGCATTTTGTAGTGATGTTTTGCTTTAACTACAACTGCATAAAACAATCTGATTGCAAGCCATATGTTTCAATCAAAATAAACCAAAATTGTTATCTTTTGCAGTTACCTATTAAGTTTTAACACCAGACGTTGCAAAACAGACTTTGCAGTGATTCAGCATCTACGAAAAGCCAATTGACTAATAAAGCAATTGACTTAAATGTAAGTCAATTAGTTTAAAAAGGAACCGTATTTGTGTTAGAAGTGCAAGGAGGTGCAAACAGCAGATTGCCTTTTCTTTCCTCCCTGCACAAAGGATAAGAAAGGAGTTTCCTATCCTGGTAGATGGGAAATGGCTCCACTATCAAACTAAAATCCAAAGCAAAATACCATTTTGTCACTTACGTTTTCTATAACAAATGTCCACTCTTTGTCTTCAAATTCCTCTGCATGGGGATCCTGAAAAGTAGGAATATAACATTAAATTCCTTTCTGAATCCAATAAACCTATGGGAGAAAATAAATAGATGAATCCTGGATTTTGATCTAGAGGATGACAGATCTAAAGTCTGAACCCATTGTCGGAAGGCCTCTTTAGCAGCAATTTTCACTACATCTTATTCTCTTTTTCACCATCCAAATGCTCTACATAGGAGTGCATTTGGCAAAGTGTACTGTTTAACCACTTAGTGGTAAAGTACCATTGAGTACATGTTGGAGGGAAGTTTAACAGAATCATATACTGGACTGAAAAATAGCTGCTGTGTTTTTTTACTAGCTAGGAAGAAACCAGGAAGACTTTTGTGTCTTCCTAGTATGTTAGTTTCACACTTTGTCCCACAGCATTATATTGTATTATTGCTTTTCTTTTGGTCTTTGACTACAGATCCCTTTTTTAATGAACTATATACAAAATCTTCCAAGATTTATTCATTTTCAAACAAGGGAAATGGAACACAGGTGTAGAGATTGAGTTTTTTTATTATATAGTATTATTCCAGCAGTTCTAAAGACCTTTTCTTTTGAAAGGTAATTTTCATTTATATTCTCCCCCCCCCCGCTCATTTAGAAATCTATACATTACATGTCAGCATTACTGATGAATATCCATGTTGTAAATCAGCACATAAGATGACTAAACTAAGTTTCAAAGTCAACATGAGTGATAGATTTGAGTACACATACATAGAGAGAGGGGGCAGGGGGAGGGAGGGACGGGGGGGGCAATTTCTAAAATTTTTAATCAAAGTAGAGGGTAGCTCCTGGTTTTTTGCTAAAAAAAAAAAACTAATGAAAGTCCAGGAGGTTGAGATGATCCATGTGCCTCCTTTAAGATATTTTCCTTTCGATAGATATTGGCATTGTGTGATACAAATACTTGCTTCCTTTACATTGTTAGTTAGACTTCTTTCTGATCACATACATCATAACCAATTTTAATGTTTCACTCATGTTTTTGCAATGTGTAGAGGTGCCAGTTGGATAAAATATACATATAACACATATTCATGGCTGGAGAGTAACTGTCTATCTTTTGCACGATACAATCTGGGTTGGTCACTGGGACCAGAGGTACTGTATTCTGAGCTGTATATCTTTTCTTTCAGGTAATTCCCTACTAACACATCACTTCACCGATTCAGGATAATATTTCATTCATTTGCTGAAATGAATTATATTTATAAATGATTATGTCATAATCTAGTTAGTAGGTCATCATGGAGGTACAAGGCTCTTACAGATATTTGATCATTTCTTGAAAAAAAACAACCTTCAGCCTATTCCTCATACAATGACAACCTGTTAATTGGAACTAATCTAAGTTTGAGGTGTTCATTTTGACCACTGGACAATCACAGGCATCTTCCTATTTTCTTTGGTGAAATTTTGGAGGCCATTGGAGCTCCATCATAGAACATAAGCCAGAGATATGATTTCGAAAGAAAAAGGTCAGAGAAGACAGACCATCATATGCATGTAGAGGTTTCTCAAACGGAAGAATATGAACAAGTTCCTCTGAAGTTTATGTTTAAGGCAAATGCTCTGCCCAGTGACCGATTATCTATGCTTTTAAGTAACAAGTGTTCAAGTACCCACTGCCCACTGCTAAGAGGCTATACTTAACATTCTCATTAGTCGGAGATGCCCAGACGTAACCTTTAATCCTATCAGCAAGGCCGTTTCAACAGCCACTTATAGATTCAGAGATAATGCAATCCGTATCACTTCCAGAACACAAGGCTTGTCTAGCTTGGTGCCTGTTCTTTACCCACACTACTATTTTAGAGTGCTGCTTTGCAAACAAATTCAGTCCTTTATCTCTGATTCCTATACAGACTGCATGAGCAATGCATTCTGTCATCAGCCACTGCCAGTACAGATAAAAACCAGGAGCACAGCTCTGATCTTCAGCTTTTAATCAGTGCAAATAGGTTCTGTTGGGAGGGATACTTTGATGCAAAATGGCAGTGCAAACATCTTTCTTTCCTTCCTTTGGGACATTTTTCTCCCCTACTTGAACCCGCTGATCATCCCCAACCTTCTGCTCAACCTTCTCCAACATGGCACCTTTTAATTTAGGTGAGACTAATGATCTCGGAGCATGGCAATTATTATGAATCCCAGCAAGTGGCTAGGATTCTATAAGCTGCATAAGAATTAGGTCACCATGAAAGTTAAAACAAACAAATGTTATTTTAGAAATCATTAATTACATGTCCAAATCTTGACAGGACCACAGTTTGAAAGTATGCTGTTGTAGTTTCATTCATTCTGCCACTGTTTTAACACTGAAGCTCTTTTTATCAGGCCCTTCTCTTTTAAGGTGTTAAGCTTTATATGGTGAATTACCCAGAGGATTAGCTATTAGGTGATATAGAAATAATGTCTTGCTCTATTAAATTACTGCAGTGCTAGCTTACACCAAGGCTGGCTTTTAGAGATGTTCCAAAATCAGGCAAGAAGATAGCCTTATCATATTTCGCCAGTACCATTTGATGGCCTGTCCCAGTCTCTGGGATATCTTTAGGTCCAACTGAAAACCTGAAATCACCTGAGATCAGGTCAGATAACATACCAACTCTTTCCATATATAGCTGGTTGGTTCCTAAAATAATTTTCAAAGCTCCTCTTTCAAAATAAATAAGCAGGTGGCTATTCGGAACAAGGAGGAGCTGCCTTGGGTGTGGAATGCCATTCCCCGTTGCTGGGAATGCATGCCTGCTAGGTGCCTACACTGAAATATTTTTGATTCCAGACAGAGTTCTTTCTTATTATTTCAGACTATGTATCCCTTCCATTCTAAAAGCAGAAATCGCTCAGGTCTTACTTTACATGGCTTTACTTTTGGGCTTGGTAACTATTAAATTTCAGAAATATTTGTATGCTGTGTTTTATGAGTTTCTATTTTGTCAGCTACTTAGATCACTTCAGCTAATGGTTAACATGGTAATGTATTAAATAAGAATACAGACAATCTTTGTTTAGCAACCAAAATTGGGACCAGCAACTCAGTCATTAAGTGAAGTAGTTGCTAAGTAAAACATTTTACAGTTTTATTTCAACTTTCCTTTTCTTTACAGATCAGCAAAGATCATAAATCAAAGGACTGAGCGCAAAGTTACATTTTCACCATTCTTTAACTGCAAACAGTTGTTATATGAGGCAATATTTAAATGAGGGCTACCCATAATTACAAATATATAATTGTATAAATATACTGTATAACTCAGTGGTGGGTTGCTACCAGTTCGCTCCGATTTGGGCGAATCGGTAGCAGCGGCGGCAGGAGGCTCCGCCCACCCGCCAGCATGTCATCAAATATACTGTGCGCATGTGCAGAAACTTCTGCGTATGCGCAGAAGTGGCGTGTGCATGTGCAAACCGGTAGCAAAGATAAGTGAAACCCACTCCTGATATAACTGTATAAATAATTTAAATGTTCAGCATATTCTCTCTCAGTGTGCACACTGGTTTCCTACATACAAGAGCAAGCAAAGTTTCAGTGGCTTATTTAATGGTTTGGGTAGCCAAGACCACAATAACACCATCAGCTAAGTGGAGGGCCACAGGATTTCCAGTGGTTTGGCAGGATTGGCAAAATTGGGAAGGGTGATATTTTGGTATTAGCCGAGTAGCTATGTTAAACCACTTTTAGAGTTTAACACTTTTTCTTTGTTGCTAACTGTCAGAAACCAGCAGAAAATTGCACATCCATTCATCAGCTGTTTTTTAGCATCCATTTCCAAGGGCCTTTGAGACCACAAAAATGAACTTCAAGGGTTGCAAGCAGCACAAAGACTGCAGATTGGAAACCCTTCTGGTATAACTACAGGTTCAAAGAGCTGGAAGTAGGAACAAAACAGCTTCCAATCTGCAGAGCATTATCAATACATAACAACCACTTACCACAGATAATTATACTTACTCCAAACTGGAAGCATCTCTCCCTCCCACCCTCCCTCCCTCCCTCTCTCTCTCCCTCCCTCTCTCTCTCTTCCCTTCCCTTCAACTTCTGTTGTTCCTGTTCTTGCCTGTATCACCTCTATCCCTAAAGATTTGAGGACCATATTTTATTGTCCTGGATGATGAACTTAATTTCTAATAAAGTAAATTGACATGTACTGCAGACAAATAGTATTTCTTTGCCAATTTCATGATAGCAAGATCTATTATTTTGAAACCAAAAAAACTTTCCATAGAAACAGCCTTGCTCAAATAAGACCTTGATGGGTTTGTTATTTAAAAGGTCAAACATACATGTTTTTAAATAGCAGGGCAATTTTTGTAGTATGTTCTCTAAAAGTGGTCCTGCAATTCCTTGACAGCTTATTTATTGAGCTCTCAGCATTAAATATGAATGTGGTTTCTTTACTTTGATTTATAATGAACCATTGACAATGTCCATGAATATGTGCTAATCCTTCGGATTCGAAGACATGCTTTGTGCAGTTCATCTTTGGATATGGTGGTAGCTCTGCAGTCCCAGTCTGGAAGCACAGAGTCTACCACAATAGGGGCACTGAAAGTCCATTGTTTCAGCGACTATGGGTCTGCTTTTCTGTGATGCCACTCAGGGTTTTCTATCAGTTTTTGATGACATATATCTTCAAAGGCAGTGGAGGCTTCATAGCACAGGATTCAAGATTCTGTCAGCAGCCACAACCTAGGTTAGATGTCAGAGTGACATATGGTTTCTTTCACAGTGTCTTCGTGGTGCTTAGCTAGTCAACACTGAGTCTCTTCCCACAGTTCAGTAAACCATACAGCATAAGGTGGTCATCCATTCTGATACGTCCCACCCACCTCATCTAGGCTCAATGAATCAGGGACTCAATGCTGGTGGACTCTGGGTGATCAAAGACCTCCAGGTTAGAGACTTGGTCTTGCCAATGTGTTGTGACTCCGGCTCCCGAGCCTGTCCTCACGGAGGAAGATGACTCTGAAAGTGATGGGGAGGAACTGACAAGGCCTCCCTCTCCAGGACTCTCCTTTCTGGCAACGCCTCAGGTTCCAGCTGAAGGCCAGGAGGAAGGCATGTCGGAGCACCCACTAATAGGGAGTGATGAAAATCAATCTTGGATTGATCCCAGGCAGCGTCGGAGGGAGAGGCGTGCGCAGCAAAGGAAGAGGTGTGGAAGGGCCAGAGATTGCTGAGTCACTGAGCAATGCCCCACAGGGGATAAAAGTGGGTGGGGTTGCTCTGCAGGCTCTGTGACGGACAAAAACTGCATATCGTGAGCTTCGGATGGGATATTTTTCGGAATTAAGGCCTGGACTTTGTGAATGACTTCTGACTACTCTTTGAACTCTTGGTTGCCCCAGCAACAGACTATAGATACGCTGACTCCTGTTTCTAAAGGTGATAAGAAACTTGGCAGGCATTCGGAAAGTAGCTGCCAGAACTTTTATCTGCCAAAGGGATTCAGGTCAGCTTGTAAAAATAAATTACTGGTAGACGTCTTTTGCTCGTGTGTCTGCCTATGTGACGTGGGGGGGCAGAACACAATGAATATCAAGGATGGAGTAGAGCGTGCAATTTTTTCCAGTTGTTTGATATGCCTTCAATGCAGAATCAAGGAGAGAAGGGATAACCACAGCTCTGTAGAATTCCAGCTTTCTGGAGATAGAGATGTTATGTTGAGCACTCTAATATGCATTCATCCCAGTGCCTGGCTGGCCTTGCTGATCCTGGAGTCAAGATCTATTGCTTGAGATGATGCTTCCCATGTATTTGAAGTTGAAGACATCAACTTGGTGTCATGAACAGTGATTTTTAGTTTTATGGACTTGGTACTTGGCACAAGCTGGTAAAATGCTTCAGTTTTGTTCAGGTTGATAATCAGATTTTGGACCATAGCAACATCTGAGAAGTTCAGCATCAATTGTATATCATTGCCTTGGTGCATCAAGAGAGCACAATCAGCAGCAAAGAAAGTTTCTTGAATGACTGTATGGAGCCACTTTGTCCATGTGTTTAAGCAGCAATAGTCAAAGTGAGAGTAATTCAAAACAAAACAAAACAAAACACACACTTACCTTAAAAAGTGTCACAGTGATTTCAATGTTTTCAGGAACAGGCCACACTACCACCCCACGGTAAGGATTCTTTATTCCTGGTTGCCAACTATGAGCCTGAGGAAAGAATTATGAGACAGGAAAAGTCTTGATCTATGTAGACATAGCAACTGAGATTAATGCAGAGAGCAACATTTGCTACTTAAGGGTAAAGATGAATGAAAAAACAATGCCTAGGACTAAAGCTATATGTAGAAGAATCTAATACCAGTCAAGACAAAACCAGTCACAAATTGTCACTCTTTAATACCCCATAGAAGTGCAGAAATCCCCTCATATTTACCACATTTGGTCAACATTTTTGCATGTGTATAGATTTAACATGGTTTTCATCCACTATATAATTTGGCTGCTGGGCAATGAGAAGAAGCCCCTATAATTAACTTCTGTTGTTGTAGGAAAGGGAAATAACAAAGTTAAACTTTTTACAAAATACCTGATTTGCCAACAGTTAGAAATGGAATGTCTCTACTTTTCTTATATATTGATATAATTGTGTCAAATTTGCTACAACTCCATCAGACATCCAGACTGAGATATACTGTCCCATCATTCCATTCCATTCTTTTTTTTTTAAATAAAGTTTATTTCCATTTTTAAAAACAATGCTTTAGATATATACATACAAAATTATTGCAACTAACGTATACAAATATGCGCCTATACCACTAATGAAATCCATTTCATTTCCCTCTCTTTCCTTTCACCCAAATATACCATAAATTCCAACATTCATAATAATCAGAATCTTTTTGGTTCCTAAGTAATTTTGTTAACCAATCTGCCTCTGCGCATTCTGTAATTTTCCAAAGCAATTTATTCTCTGTGGGTATTAATTCATTTTTCCATTCTTGCGCGTATAATATCCTAGCTGCGGTAATAATGTGGAGGATCAAGTACCATTTTTCTTTAGATATTTTATCTGGTTTCATTCCCAATAAAAAAGTCTCTGGTTTCAGCTCTATATTATATCCTGTAATTTCCACTATCCAATTCTTAATCTTGGACCAATATTTGCCTGCTTTGGGAGACATCCACCATTGGTGATAGTATGTCCCGCTACCATTCCTGCACTTCCAACATGCCAGGGAGGCTCCCGGAAACATTCTTGCGATTCTTGCCAGGGGAATATGCCAACGATAGACCATTTTATAAATGTTTTCCTTGTAGGGGTCCCGAAATCTGGATAAATGGGATGCGATATGGAATAGGAATATGAAACTTACTTTGTCAACCCCCTATTCCATTCCATTCTTATCTGGGTCAGTTATTCTCTCTCTCTTAGCCCAACTAGCTCACAGGGTTGTGATGGGGAAAAGGATCGTTGGTCTTACCTGATACGTTCCTTCTCGTTGAGTGGAGACAGCAGCCAGCGTGGGTAGTGCCCATCCAATCAGCTTGAAGGACTGAGCCTGCCAATTTTTCTTAGTCCCGCCTCTGTTGCCGGGCAGGCCAGCTTTGGCGAAGACTGGAAGACAGACTCGGTGTGTGGGACAAAGACGAAACCAAAGACAGAAAAAAACAGTAGAAATGCGGAGTCCAGCTTGAAGAAGAGAAAAGGGAGGGTCTGGCTGCTGTCTCCACTCAACGAGAAGGAACGTATCAGGTAAGACCAACGATCCTTCTCCATTGAGAGTGGAGACAGCAGCCAGCGTGGGACATACCCAAGTTCACTGTCCCGAAGGTAGGGGGGGATCACGCTGGACCGCATTGTCCTCTCCGGCAACCACTCTTTGCAGAACTCGGCGACCAAACGAGGCTTCGGCTGACGCAAACTGGTCGAGTTTGTAGTGTCTGATGAAGGGACTAGGAGAAGTCCACGTGGCCGCTCTACAAATTTCCAGCAAGGAAGCCTGTGTAGCCCAAGCTGCTGTCGTAGCCGCGCTGCGGGTGGAATGAGCTGTCAAACCTGAAGGGCGCGGAAGGGATCTAACATCGTAGGCTGAGGCAATAGTCTGGCGGATCCAACGACCGATGGTTGAAGGAGAGACCTTACTGCCTTGAGAGGTAGGTAAGAAGGAGACAAAAAGCGACTCCGAACGACGGAAGGGAGCCGTCCTCTTCAAATATATTCGCAGAGCCCGCCGGACATCGAGAGAGTGCCAACGACGTTCCCGCGGATGCGCGGGCCGGGGGCAGAAATTTGGAAGGACCAGTTCCTGGGCACGGTGGAAAACTGAGTTGACTTTCGGCACGAAAGTAGGGTCCAAACGGAGCACCACCCGGTCAGCATGGAAAACACAGAGGTCCGAACGGGTGGACAAAGCGGCGAGTTCAGATATGCGGCGAGCCGAAGTGATTGCCACCAGAAAGGCAACCTTGCAGGTAAGAAGTCTGAGACTGGTAGTCCGCAGTGGTTCGTACGGGGAACACGTAAGAGACTGTAAAACCAGAGGAAGGTCCCAGGTCGGATAGCGATGCAGAACAGGAGGACACAAATTCTTCGCTCCCCGAAGAAAACGGCGGATCAAGGGATGATGAGCCAGAGATGACAAGGAGCCGCAGGTAAGTACTGATGATAAAGCAGCAATGTGACGGCGGAGAGTGTTGGGAGAGAGGCCCTGGGAGAGGCCCTTCTGTAGAAACATCAGAATATGAATAATTGACGGTTGAAGAGGCGAGATACCGATCTGGCCACACCAGTTGTAGAAACTCCGCCAAGTGGCCGAGTAAATGCGCTCCGTAGAAGGCCGTCGTGAGGATAGCAAAGTATGCGCAACATCTGCCGGGATTTGTACCTCTCTCAAAGTGCACCGCTCAATCTCCAAGCGGTTAGATTGAGCCAGGCCGGGTCCGGATGCTGCAGAGCGCCTTGTGAGAGAATATTGTCCGAGAGAGGAATGCGCCACGATGGGGTCACCGATAGGGACACGAGGTCCGCAAACCAGGGTCTCCGAGGCCAATGAGGCGCCACAAGGATCACTTCCGCTCGCTCGGACAGAATCTTGCGGATGACCCTGGGAAGGAGGGCCGTCGGGGGGAAAGCGTACAGAAGGCCCGACGGCCAAGGAGTTCGAAGAGCGTCGACACCGGCTGCTCGAGGATGAGGGTACCGTGAAAAGAACAGCGGAAGTTGAGAGTTCTCGTGAGTCGCGAACAGGTCGATCACTGGACGGCCGAAGCGAAGAGTCAGTTCCTGAAAGAGGAGCGGAAGGAGGCGCCATTCCGCGTTGTCTATTTGACGGCGACTCAACCAGTCCGCTTGAACATTCTGCACTCCGGAGATGTGTTCTGCCCGAAGGGAACACAGGTGGCGCTCTGACCAGATCCCCAACGCAACAGCCAGGGTTAGAAGAGATTTCGACCTGGTGCCCCCCAGTTTGTTCAAATGAGCCTTCGCGGCGACGTTGTCCGTGAGGACAAGGACGTGGGTTCCGGAGATCAGGTGACGGAATGATTTTAGGGCAAGGTAAACGGCCTTCAGTTCCAGCCAATTGATGGGACGCCGAGCCTCTGAGCGTGTCCAAGTACCTTGAGCCAGTTGACCTTGGCAATGAGCTCCCCAGCCCAGGAGACTGGCATCTGTCATCACCACCACCCTGGCGGGCTCTAGGAAGAAGCAACCCGCCGAGAGAGCGGGGGAGCGCCACCACCGGAGGGATCTTCGCACCGCAGGAGGAAGAGGGATCGGCTTCGAAGAGGTGCCTCTGCCGGCCTTCTGTAAAGGCAAGAGAAACCATTGGAGTTCCCTGGCGTGAAGTTGAGCCCAGGGAACAATAGCTATTGCGGATATCATTTTACCTAAGAGTTGGGACAAGACATAGGGGGAAACCACCCGGCTCCTTTCAACTCGGGAAATCAACTGCCGTAGACTAACCTGTCTATCGGGAGAAAGAAAAACCTTGCCCTGAAGAGAGTCAATCAGGGCACCCAAGTGTACTAACCTAGTAGAAGATGAGAGATGGCTCTTCTCCAAATTAACAGAGAACCCGTGAGCCGCTAGAGTCTCAATCGTCAAACGAATATCTAAAGCAGCTTGTTGTAAAGAAGAGGACAACAACAGAATATCATCTAAATAACACAAGAGACGGACTGAACGGAGACGGAGCTGGGCCGCCAGGGCAGCCAACACCTTCGTAAAGGTGCGAGGGGCCGAAGAAAGGCCAAATGGGAGAGCCCTGTATTGATAGTGAACTCCGTCGTAACAAAACCTCAAAAACCGTCTATGGGAAGGAAGGATAGGGATATGAAGGTAGGCCTCTGTTAAATCAATGGAAGAGAGGAGATCGCCCCTCCGAACACCGTCCAGAATAGATTTTAATGATTGCATTTTAAATTTTCGATACACAACGTATCTGTTTAATCGTTTGAGGTCCAGGATGGGACGCCACCCCCCCGATGATTTAGGGACTAGAAACACCCTTGAATAGAATCCCGAGCCCTCCTGACCGGGGGGCACAGGCTGGATAGCCCTGATAGACAGGAGATGCTGAATCGAAGAATCCATAAGGGACTTTTTGACGGAATTGCGAGAAATCGGGCAGCAGACAAAGGTGTGAGGGGGGGGGGCAATAAATTCAATGGCCAACCCAGATTTTAAGGTGGCGTGGACCCACTTGTCCGAAGTGGATTCCTCCCAGACAGAGGCAAAAAGACCCAACCTACCGCCGATGGGAGGATCCGAAGGGCAATTAGCGACGGCGACGGGCGAAACGACCTCCTCCCCCTCGAAAGGGCCGTTTAAAGTTAAAGGGACGACCCCTGAATGATCTATCAGAAGAACCCCGCTGCCTGCTGAAAGACCCATCTCTCCTAAACGAGGGGAAGGTAGAAGAAAAGGAGGACCCTCCATCCGCACCTCTGGGGAAGGAACGAGAAGGATAAGGAGAGAAACGGGGCGCCCCTCTCCGGAACACAGCAGCTAAGACCTTCTTCTTATCCCTGGTTTCTGTGAGGAAGGGATCTAAAGCCTCCCCGAAAAGCTTCGTACCCTTAAAGGGAATCGAAGCCAATCGCCACTTATGCCTGGCATCAGCTTGCCAGTGACGGAGATACAATAAACGCCTAGCCGCAACTGCCGAAGCCAAAGATTTCGACGAAAATCTGGCGGCATTCAG